ATCCAGAACATTATGGTGCACATTCATGCTGCTTATTAGTCTATCCATGATTGGGATTATGCTTTTTTTTTTTTTTTTTGTACTTTTCCCAACATTGCACACACATCTCTGTTAGCGTGGGATAGCAGTACACCTCAAGCACGTTGGATTCAGAAGGTCCCTGTTTACATTAAGTGGCTGGTTGGATGAACAGCAGACATGCCTCCATCAACATTTGTTCTCCTTCTAGCTCTTGTCTTCATTTTTAAACTCCTCTCTACCAACTCCCACACTGAATTCAGTTGTTGTTAGCACCCGTTCATGCTTAGGCATGGGCCGTTCGCTGATTTGTTCGCTGGTTGGCTGGTCAAGCTGAAAATTAAATGGGTTTTGATCACCTGCCAGTTCTTAGTTGTGTATTTGCTTTCTGCAGGTGTTTTTGTTGTTGCCTGCCTTGTAGCATATAATATTCCTTAACATCACAGTTGTGTTATATACACTCTTGTGTATATATTTTAAGTGTGCCTGCAGAAACAAGGATGTTTTCACATCTAACTGGCGATTTTCAGGTGGACGTCAGAGTTTTTTGTCTAAGCAAACACTTAATGCCACTGCATACTATTATTCCAGCTGCACTGTTAGAAAATCAGCGATGGTTTGTTTTTATTGCAACAATGCATCATTCAGTGAACAGTTAACACTGAGTGTTAAATAAAGGGCTTAATAGGATTTCTATGCCTGGATTACCAACATTACATCATGTGTGCTAAATGTTACTTGATCTTCCCACAAGCGGTCAGTTTAAGAAGTTTAGTTTTCATCTCATTTTATGTCATTAACCAGCAAGATCTTTTAAAAAGTTTAGCTGGAAAGATACATTTTGTGAAGCGGTAAAAAAAAAAAATCTTTTTCAAACAAAATCTGGACGCATATCATTCAAATATTAGGTATCCTGCCTTTGTGTTTAAGGACAATGTTGGGATATTTAAATTACAAAGTGTTTAGGTTCCACTCTACAATTTGAATAGTAATTATCAAATTACTATGAAAGAAAAAACATTGTACTTTTTACGTCTTGTTTTTACCAGCACCTGGTTGTAATGTTAGACTGTTTCCACAAAGCGGCGCTAGTGCACAAAGTTGCATACCTGTAACAACAGCTGCAGTTATTTAGTGTTTTTAGGTATGGAAACAAAGCTAACTGAGATCTGTTTGTTCCTTATTTCTAATGTAAACATGTTCATTTTACTAGCAAAAATACAAGTTGGCTTTAAACGGTCGATAAAATTAGTGCTTGTTCAATATAACAAGTAATATCGTTCTCTTCTGTCTGATATGATGATCATTATCACGTTATACATTAACTTATTATGTATTTTGAAAGGTATTTAACCACGTTGGAGTAATCAACCCAATTTCTTCCTCCTCAAGTCAGAATTTTAGTTTGGACTTGTTTGAATTTTCTCAGTATTCAATATGGCTACCTTCAACATAAAGAGCAGTGGTAGTTCTGATTGTTTTATCTCATTTCAGTTGCTGTATGGCAACACTTTTGGAGAGCTGTAAACTGTTGCTTTGCTATGTTAGATGACTTAAGGTTGTACTCATCAATACTTATGGGAACCATAGTCAGTAAGTGCTGTTCATTCATGAAAAAAGGCATGAAGGCACATCAGTTGTAGTTTACATGGAAAGAAACCAACAAGGTTTTTGTATATCTGGAAGAAATAATACGAGAAAATAATCTGGCCTTCTCAGCATCCTAAAATAAAGGAACTGCCTGTTCAGATTAAAAAACAACTGTTTTTGGATGTCCATCCCTTGGAAGTTTGGCAGCCGTCTTAAATATTTTCCACTTGTGCAAATCCTTTCTCACCATAGAATAATGGACTTAATGTTGCATGGAAATGACCTAATAGCCCTCTTCAGATTTATGTTCAGCAGCAATTGCTTCAGTAACATCATTAATGATGCTTCTCTTTTGCCGTGAGAGCTGAAGATCTGGAAAGTTCCAATACATCTGTTTTTATTTTGACACCCACACTTCCTGATGACCGTTTATTTCACATATATAGAATAACACCTTCCTACTGCCCAGTCTCCTAATGAAAGCAGAATTTGCTGCTGTCCTCTTCATTCCTATGTTTTGCTTTAGTTTTATTCATATTAATGAGTCTGTAACATGTCAATGCTTTTCTTTTTTCCTTCCAAGCCTGTGCTTTAGCCGAGCATTGGAGTTCTAACAAGGTTCTCTGAAAAAACTCCTGCACGTTTTTGAAGGCTACCTTGATACTTGGCTTTATGCAGACATTTTGTTGTAAACTATGATACAATCTATTTGACGTCTTAATATTCTTTTGGAAAGACCAGACAAATTGCTTTTTGACTTGTTTTTCACTCTACAGCTTGCAAATGAAAAGACAAGGTTCACCAGTGACAACTTCACCCAACTTATGCAACAATTTACATTCAAAACCTCTTAATTTCTAATAAATGCAGTTTCTCCTTTCAGGTTTTTATGTTTTTAGTTTGTTCAGAGGCTTAGAAATAGCAGGTTTTCTTTGGTACAAGCTTCGCAGCAATTTTAAATGATCTTGCTTTTGCTTTAATAACTATTATAACTAACTCATTTGTATGCTTACTGCCATCAGCCAGTTTCATTGTTTATATTGGCAGCAGGGGCATTGTCACTCCATATTTGTGAGAGAGCAGCTGCAGCGCTTACATAATGCAGTGTGAGCATTTTAATTCAATGTAGCTAAACTGGTTGACGCGGATATGGTGAATTTCTAGACTAAAAGGATTTTTGACCAGTTGGTCACCGATCAAGGTGGGTCATGTTCAAAATGGTCTGATTCCTTTCACCAGACAATTTAAAGGCAGATGTGTAGTGATCAGATGTTGACATGATTGACATACTGGTTCGCGACTATTTGACACCGATCAACCAATAAGACCTTGGAAACAGAAATGAAACTTCTCTGTGGGTCAGCTGAAATCCTACATCAAGCAGAGATTATTATTGTAGAAACAAATTAAATTGTTTGGCACCTTTTCTGTCTTCTCTCTCTCTCTCTGTCTCTCTCTCTCTCTCACACACACACACACGCAAAAGTAAGAGCCGGTATGTATTCGTTTTTGTCAGTTTCTCTGCAGAGACCTCCAGGAAGTGACATCACCTGGGGTGTACTGGAGTAAACCAAAGGCTTCTATTGAACACCTAATCATTGCCACACTCTAGCTAGTTAGAGCTAAACAAGCACCACATAACGCGCCCTCTACCTTTCAACTGCACCAGTGTAGCTGGCTCTGCTTGTTCCCTGCTTTACTACATCTGTTCCTCTGCTGTATATTTGTATCTGGCAAACGGGTACAAGAGCAGTACTTTTTTTTTTTCCTGCCCGGAGTTCAAGAATAAATCAAGTGTTGCCAAATGCCATGCTTCTACCTTGACATCCTTTTTTTTTTTTTTTTTATTGTCCAGGGGTGATTTGGCCACAGTCGGCACCATTGTTTCCTTGCACAAGTAGGCAATCATTAATCAGTACACAGAACATCAAAGTGTAGGAGGAGATCTCGTATACTAAACTTAAGCACGGAGTCGGTTCTACAGCGGTATCTTTGGCCCGCTTCTCTGTAATTACCCAGAAAACCCTGGGGCAAATAGAACATTTCTCACTCTGCCTACTCAAAACAGCGTGGCAGTTCAGCCCCATGTGTCTGCAATATGGGAGGTCTCCAACGTTGCGGCCTCTGCGTTCCCCCCACATATGATGAAACTTGCTCGTCCCCTGTGTGAGCATTGTACACCCTTCTCCCTTATATCGCGCTGTGATATATGCGAGGCTCCTCCAGTCTTGACGTCCTCTTTAATCATTTCAGCTTTTGTCTTATTATTATCTCCGCATGGAAAGAGCTGAGGTTTCTAATTTCCTCTGTCTGTGTTCTTGCGGTTCTCTGTGGTCTCCAGGCCAGCTTACAGAGATGTAATCAATATTTGCTCAGTTTTTTTTTTTTTTTTTCCAAAGGTCAAATGGTACTGCATGATTGTCTTGTGTAATAAATACCCCTGCTTGTACTGTACGCCTGCCAGGAGATCCGTTCACAGGCAAAAGCGTCTCTCGGACTGAGCAACCGGTGGCCGTGCGAAGTTTTCTGTCAAAATCTGCATAGCAAAAAAAAACAACAAAAAAAAACACTTGTGAGGCAGGATGTGTTGCTTTGTGGTCACTCACTCCCCCCAACCCCCAATTCAGAAGGGGAAGAGCAAAGAGTTTAAGGAGAACTCTGCTGGGTCATCCCTGAATGTTTATCTATTTCTACTACTCTGCAGCAACTCACTCGCTTCAGAGCGGTGTGTGAAAAGTGGAGGAGGGGTGTTTGGGACTGCGCTGCGGCGCTTCAGGGAGGAGGGAGTGGGGTGTCTGATGAATAGAAAGACAGGTCTTCTGCTCTGCTCTCTCAGCTTCCCATCATGCTTTGGACGCCCCTCCCCGTCAGGACTCTTTATGGCCTCTGGTTTGGTGCCAGATCTGTCACAGACATGCCAAAAGCAGCACTTTTTAAAAATGTATTTTGTGCTCCTGCTATCTGCATTTTACTACAGATTTAGTTCCAAATAAAATACCAAGGAAATATCCCCCTCCCCCTCCCCGTTTTTTTTTTTTTTTTCCTTTTTTTTTAAGAGAACTTTGTGCAGCAACTTTAATTTGACACTGCAAATAGCCAGAGTGCCACTGTAGCAGCGCTGGGAAGGCCTACGCACAATAAAAGTATCAACAAACTGTCAGATGAGGCTTTATTGGCACAGTGAACATAAACTCCTCTGTACTTTAGTCAGACGGTTGTTTGAACATCTTTGAACTCCACACATTGAAATGCTTTCGAGTGTCTGGAAAAGTGCAGCAGTGGAAAAGAATATTAGCTGCAATCTGAACGGGCTGCACGTATAAACAGCAACTCATTGCAGCGTCCTGCAGGAGTCGTCTGTTTATGCGTTCATCCTCCCCGGCCTCTTGCAGGAAGTGAAGATCTTCCGAGCGCTGATCCTGGGCGAGCTGGAGAGAGGGCAGAACCAGTACCAGGCGCTGTGCTTCGTCTCTCGCCTCGGCCGCAATGAAATCATCCCCAGTGAGTCCATGGCGCGACTCAGACAGGTATGACGCACCGGATCTACAGTAGTCGTCCTGTGAGCGGGCTCACATTTAATAAAGCAAGAGGAAGACGCCTCGGGCGAAGCCGTTAATTTACACAGTTTGTCAGCTTTTATCCTCTTTCAAACTAGTGGAAATAAAAACACATGCAGATCATCCTCTTGCGTAAGCTGTTTTATGGAGAGCTATTACAGTTTTGCTTCCAATGGATCAGAACTTTCTGTGTAATGTTTAACGAATTATTTGGACAGAAAAAGCACCTAACTGGACAAACTAGAGCTGTGTCTAGGTGTAACCTATAGCATGGAGAAGAAACCACTCAGAATCATTCTCAGTTGTAGATTTTTATGCCTTTGGCAAACGCAAGGCTCCGACTCAGTCTGGAAAAGTAGATTTCATTGTTCTTCAGGTCTCAAAAAAACAGATGAGAAAATGGCAAATATTTGTATCTTCAAACTGTCTGCTGTCTCCCTTTGAGTATTGTCTTTCCTTTTGATTTATGAGTCGTTCTTTTCTTTTTTTCCAGGTATACAGCCTCGTGTTCTCACTTCCTTCCTTGTGTGCTACCTTGTATTCATCCTTCTTTTTACTTCCTTCTGTTGTCCTTTATGTCTTGTGTTCTTTTGTTTCCTTTTTTGTGTCCTTTTTGTCTTCTTTGCTTCCTTCATTGTCATCATTTTATCAATAGTCCTTTCCTTACCTCTGTCCTTCATTCCTTGGATCTCATCTCACCCCCTTGTCTCCTCGTTTTCTTTATTCCCTTTTGTTCTTTTCTTCTTTGCTTCCTTGTCTCCTCCCTTCATTTATTCTGACCTTCTTTGCTTCCTTGTGTCCTCCTTCCTTTGTTGTTTTCTTTTAGTTTTGCACCTACAAGCTCTTCTTCCTTCATTCCTTTGTTCCCCCTTGTTTTTTGTTGTTGTTGTTGTTGTTTTGTTTGTTTGTTTGTTTGTTTGTTTTTTCAAATTGAATATGCAGTACCTGGGTGCTGTAGAAACATTTGCTAGAAATATTTAGCTAAATTTGAAGGAGTTTAAACACTGGAAAGTTATTCCTGGAAACTTGTTTCTGAAAATTAAGTAGAAACCCTGTAAGTAGACTTCACCGTAATTTGAGAGAGACCATAAACAATGTTGCATTGTATAGGAATTTTTTTTTTTCTCCAAAACAGTGATGTCAAATCTTAACCATTTGACTATTTAGGAGCTTACCATAAAGCATAATAAACTTCTAAGCTTCCCTTCTAGTCCCTCAAAAAAAAAAAGCTTTTGGGGGAATCATAAAAAACACACACAATTAACCAAACTCAACAGGCTTGTTTTTGTTTTGTTTTTGTTTTTGTTTTTTTTCCATCTCTGTGCACCTGTTGCATCCCACCATACATTGAGTTTCACGAATCTAATCATTTGTTTCGCTTTAGAAAAATCCTCATGTCATTCGCCTGGCAGAGGAGCGAAAAGGGCTTGAGCAGCTGACGATGAGCGCCGCTGTGAACCTCAGCCGGGCCTGGCAGCTCAGCTCCCACATCCACAACATGTGCAGCGAAGCTCATGAGGCCATTTACACCAGGGAGGCAGATGTGAAATACTGGCTGCAGAAAGGTAATCAGATCTGTCGTGTAAGCATTCATGTCATTCTACTTTGTCTTTGCATATCTGGAAACATTATTTATGTTGTTTATGCGTATTTATGTTGTCTATTTGAGGTCAGATTTGGGTTTGTGACGGCAATAAAGCCCGACTGTCGAGGCTGGAGAGAATCAGTATGACAGCACTTTTTGTTCACCGACAGCTACGTTTGAAAGAAAACACTCCTGATGGTCATGGTTCAACAAGCACCATCATATCCAGAGGGAACCACATAAGCATCTGTTTAACATGACAAAGCTCCTCTCTTAGCCTACCATCTGCCCTCTTTAAAAGAAAAAACAAAACAAAACACACACTTTGTTTTCCCTCTACAGAATTTAATTGAGTGAAATAAGAAGATTGCTCCAGACACCAGTGTGATGGCATGCTTTTGTTTTAGCTCTTGTTGACAAGATTTGCCTTTGTGTTGCAGGAGTGGACGGCTCAATATTTGAGGTCCTGCCTCAGACGACGGAGGCGCCCAGCTTTCAGGCCTGTCATTCTACTAAAGACTTGTGGCAGCCGTGTCTCTGCACGTACGGCCTCCGTCTGGAGTGGTACCCGTGTCTGTTGAAGTACTGCCGCAGCCGGGACGGCACGGCCAAAGGGACCACATACAAGTGCGGCATCAGGAGCTGCAGCAAGGGCTACCATTTCACCTACTACGTCCCCCAGAAACAGCTCTGCCTGTGGGACGAGGAGACCTAGTGTTCTTTTTTTTTTTTTTTTTTTTCTCTCTGGGAAGTTATAAATGGAGGAAAGAAATAATTGTTCTTAAGCCAGTGTTTGTCCACCAGTTCTATACGTGGCAATATCGGACCTTTGACGGAAAGATAGTAAATTAATCTTTTATGTATTAGGACACGATGAGGAGGGGGTGGGGGGAGGGGGAGGGGAGAGGAGATTTATTCAGGTTCCAAGTCACGCCAAACAAAAGAAGGACAAGTAGCTGAACCGTCACGAATAAATGACACATTATTGATATCCTCATTGTTACTTTGCCAAAAACTACCACTTCTGTGCCTCTTTTTGGAAGAATTGTTGGGGAGAAAAACACAAGACAACAACAACAACAACAACAGTGACCTCTGAAACAAGCTACGATGTGCACAAAACTAAACGGTGCATTTGCAAGGAATGAAACACCAGCAGAGGAGCATCTATGTCTCACGTTTCCGCAATGGAGGAAGACAAAAATATGGTCTTCCGTCTTGGTGAAGGACGATAAGGATAGTAGATTTATCTTCACGATGAAGCTCTGTGGAAAAAAAATACACATCTAAATATATACGGCCAGTTGAATCACCTGTTTAGGTTACAATAAGCAGGTTCACTAAAAATGCCTTGCCAACAGTGGCTTTATTTTTGTTTTGGTTGTAAAACAAAATCATCTAGGGCTTTGTGTGATGTCTTATTGCTTTCGTAATTTTTTTTCACACCTTTTCTCAGATTAAACAAGTCCTCAGCAAAAACAAGTATTTTAAAACATTTATATCTCCTGGGGCTTTGCATACTGCTCGTGCAGGTGCAACGTTTCTCTCTTTCCAACATCCCTTTCCAACATCAGTCATCTGTTCCACCTCATTTGTATGTTTAAGGATACATAGGCAGCTCTTGCCTATTCCTTTTCTCACACTCTTAGGAAAAGTGCCAAATAAAACTAATTTAGCAGAAAAACTGTTTTTAAAAGGGCCTTTCATTAGTTGCCTTTTCTAGGAAAATACTCTGTACGTTTTATACAAACTTTGCGATCTTTGCTGCCATCTTCTGGTAGTTGAAGATACAGGTTCCAACTGCCATAAAATAGTTTTTTTTTGGGTTTTTTTTTGTTTGTCTGTTGAAATCATCACTTACATGTTTAATTTATACATTTTAAATCTTTTGGTCATTACATGCATAATTCAAGAAGCCATTCTTGATCTCATGGGACCAACTTAAGCTGTGTCTGTCTGTTGTCAAGAGTAAATATGTTGAAGTAAGGTTTTGAATCATCTTACCTCCACCATGGTCTTCAGCTACCATATGAACATTTAATTTTTTAATTTTCTTGTTGGCATCTCCTGCTAACTAAAGAACCAAATAAGTGAAACATTTGTCATTGTGGCCTTTTTGTGATAATCAAGTGCCTTAACATTTCCACTGATGTTTTTGCAATGTAATTGTAGATTAAGTTGTTAAACATATTTTTGTATGAGAGAGGTTGTTGAATTGTTGTAAATAGTCCTCAACAGTAAATGAAGCAATTTAGGTATTGCATCTTTTAGAACTGTTTTGCATAAATTGTTTCAATAAAGTCTTTTTGCACTGCATAAGAGATTGTGTGAGTTTGGGATAATTTTCAGCATACTTGAGGGAGAGCAGCAATGCCTACAAGAGGTAGGTGGATATAATCTAGAATGGCCCAGATCTAAATCTAAAACGTGAATGCTGATGTTCACTCATCCAATCTACTATTTTCAGTTAAAACTACCACTGAAAATAGTGGTAAGAGTAGAATTTTTTTTTTTTTTTTTTTTTTTTTTGCTGTGCTAGGGTGAAAGAGACATACCCAAAGATTTGCATGTAACTGCAGTGATTGTATGTTATGCAAAGTACTGATTCAAGGCTTAATACAAGTTGCCCTCCACATTTTGAGGTTTGTATTTGTAAATAAAAACGGATATTAACAATCTGGAATGTCCCTTCCATTTCACAATTACGTTTGATTTAATCTTTCACATAAAATCCCTTTAAAATTAAATGTTCACTTCCTGGTTGAGTTGTAACTCCACGTGTTGACCATTAGGTGTCGCCATTGTTCTGAAAAAAATAAATATATACTTTCATCAAGCCGTCAAGAGAAATTAAAACGCTACATTTAATGTATTTAATGAGCCTGTTATCTCTCACTACGGCCTGGTTCGATATTATTTACTCAGAGCACCTTCCTTGTGTTACTTCGGGTAATATAAAATGTTGACATTTATAGTACTCAATATAAGCGTTCTGAGAACCAAAGGATGCTGATGGAGGCTGTTGCTGCCGGAGCAGCCTGGATAAAGGACAACAAATAGCAGCTAGTGTGTCACACTTCTCTTTCCCTTAGAAAACATACATAGCGAGGAAAACGGCAAATTGCATCTAGGCGCAGAGACCGACTGATGTTTGCCAATAAGGTAATGCTATTTTATAGCGCTTGTGAAAGCCGGAGAAAATGCTTTAATGTTCTATATAGGCATAGACTGCTACACAACTAGTTAGCTTGCTATCTGATACGGCTAGCAGGTTATCAGGTGGGGTTGCAACATCATCCTAATGGCTGGTGGATAAGCTTTAGTACCGGTTCATTTAGCTGTCTACCAGCATATTTCTGTGACGGTTTCATCTCTAAAATACTCAAACAAAAAAACAAAAATATATATATTGCTTCAACTTGTCACGATGTCCTGTTTTCCTTTAGGTTGTCATGGAAACGACACTTTCGCCTTAAAATGTCAAGTCTCCCTCTTCTTTTAGGTTCAGTTATAATATATAGAATGTCATATATTCAGGAGCGGTTCCCAATTCCCACTTGCATCCTGACAAAACATAATGATGTTGATTTATGTTATCATCTAAACATTTCCTTGCATGGTCACGGGGTTAGGGGACTAGTCGACAGTCCACCACGGGGCAACACAGAGACACACAGGAATACAACCATGCACACACTCACACCTAAGGACAGTTTAAAGAGATGACAAAGTCTTGTTTTGGACTGTGTCCAGCAAGGGAGAACATGCAGACTCCATGCAGAAAGACACCAGGCCATGATCGCCTTCCTGCTGCTAGACAACAGTGCCACGAACTGCACCACTGGTGCAGCCAGTTGTTTTATGTTCTGTATATAGTTTTACAATTTGTAGTTATTGACTTAATTTGGTACATTGCTGTTGTTTGAAATAAAACTGATTTAGTGGATGTATTAAAACTCGAAATGAGCTGAATGAACTGTAATCTTTGAAGAGCAATAAAAGTAATTAGATATCATCTAATTTTTCATTTAAATTAAGCATTTAAAAAGCCAATAGACCATTAAACTGTAGTGTTCAATATTTAAAAACATTTAGATGTGCATGAGGATGTATCAGGACAAAGGAGCCCATAAGTGGAGTTCCTTTGCAGTGTAGAAAAGTATTAATGTTTTTTTTTTCAAACGTTATTTCTTGTCTCATTGTCTGAACACCATCCACCTTCGTGTGCATTATGTCCATCCATCCACCATATTTTACTTAAAACCTAATCTCTGTTTAAAAAGGAAAAAAAAGCCAGCATCATAAATTGGAAACTTTCGTATTTATACTTTAAAATTTGACAAATAGATGGGGAATTCTGAAATTTTGCATCTGAAAAATGATCCTAATTATCGTTAGGTATTTAATGATTTTCATGTATGCTTATGTTTTTGTAAAGTCTTCGTTGTTTATTTAATTAGATTTTGCCTCTTCAGTTTTGTGTGCACTGATTCATCCTCATTGTTTGTGCTTTGGACTTGATTCCTTAGATTTGTGGGGGGGTTTCTGTTGACTGTTTAAGTTATTTGCAGTTTTTTGTTTTTCATTTCATCTATGGTTTCTATCTGGTCTCATGATCAATTTTTTTTACCGTTTCCTAGCAACAAGGGGTGACTCAGCTTTTACATCAGTCTCCCCTATTTGCAGAAACATGACAGAGTGAGAACTCTAGCAGCAAACTATCTTTGACGTATTTTTCTTCTGTAACCATGTCAACAAGAATTTAGGCAGTTAGGAGAAAATAAAGAACAACTGAATGCAGTACATACGCCTTGCACCTTGGAAAACTTTTGTCTTTGTAAGTATTAATGGCATTTGGAAGATACTTAGACCTGTTGTTTTTCCTTTGGTTAATAAAATGTAGAGCAGTGTACATAATCTTTGAGTGTAACATTAAGATTTGTGTATTATCTAGCAATGTATTTTTCTTTCTGTTATATTTCAGTTACAAAAATCCACTTATAAAAGTAGGGGTGCTTTCCCCATACAGCGCCCCTACACTCCATTTTTGAATGATGCTTTATTTAGGAGATATTCAAAGCACAGTGTTATTGTTTCCTTACTGAACCTTACACTTCTCCACAACTTTAACTCTGACCTGTCTGCTGTGTTCTTTTGTCTTTATGACACTAAAATGTCTCACAATTAGGCCTTACTTTGTGTAGTTCAGTAACATGAAACCCTAACGAAATAAATAGACGTTTGTGGCTGTAACTTGACAAAATGTGAAAAAGTCCAAGGGTGGGAATATTTTTAGCAAGGCACTCTAAGTAACAGCCATTATCCATATTTAATAATAATATTTTGTAGATGCAAGTACATTTATAAAATCTCTTAGGATAAGAATAAAAATTAAACCAAAATAATATTTAAAAATCAACGTCTGGTATTTCGGAACGGCCGTGCAGACTGAACAAGACAGTCTGCACGTGACATTTGTCAGCAGCGGAGAAAGTGTGTGTTCCTCTTGGGATCCTGTCTGAGGCCCATCTCCCGGTAACCTCTCGCCCTGTTTTGAAATTAGCTCCTAAGACATCCAGAGTTTAGTGTGCAAATCTTGTTCTACTATTAGAGGGTGGTTCTGCCCGTCTGCAGTGGTCTCACCTCCTAGCACAAACGTCACGGCAGAAGAAGAGACGGCCCCCTCACCCCACCAGATCCTCAGCCTGCCGACTGTAGTACTATTATAGTTCAAGCAAAGGCTAATTGTTGGTCATTTACAAAGGCTGCACAGTCCAAGCCTTCGGATGGCATTTCTGCCTCTCGCTACTGTAAGTGATATTACAGGGGGGCGATATCTGCCTCCTTGCATTGTTCTCCTATTCCGTAAGGTGATGATTCAAAGGACGCTAAATACTTATTTAGTTGCTTTAGTTCTTGTTTATTTCTAGCTCTTTCCTGCTTGTTTTTGTCTTCAGGGGAGACGATGGTGCCGATTGTGGGTTTCACACTCCTCTGCCTCTGCTGCTGGGCATCTTTCTACTTCATCTTGTGCTTCTTCAATAGACATAGGAGCTACGAATGGAACTGTCGCCTCGTCACCCTGGTACACGGCATGGTGGCGATTTGCATCACAGCTTACATAGGGTATGTGGATGGACCCTGGCCATTCAGTGAGCCAGGTAGGAAACAGATATGGTTAATTGTTTTTGTTTTTTTTGCAGACATGTAAAATCTCATTGTTGCTTTTATATATATATATATTATATATATATATATATATATATATATATATATATACTTAAATAGTTTTTTCCAAGTGATTGCATTTTTGTATTTAAAAAGCTGAAGTCTGATTCTGTTTCTTTATGTCAGGCACCAAGAACACCCCCTTGCAAATAAGTGCCTTGGTGATCAGTCTGGGCTATTTCCTTTTTGACATGGCCTGGTGCTTGTACTTCCACACTGAGGGACTTGTCATGCTGGCCCACCACACCATGACAATTCTGGGGATTATAATGACCCTGTGGCTGGGCGAGTCCGGAATCGAATCGTGCGCCGTTCTCTTTGGCAGCGAAATCACCAACCCCCTCCTGCAGACGCGCTGGTTCCTCAAGCAGACGGGACGCTACGAGACTCCACTCGGGGACGCTGTGGATGTCCTGTTTGTGCTGCTGTTTGTTGTGATGCGAATCTTTGTGGGAGGTACAATGCTGTACTGTGAGCTGATCTCGCCGAGACCCTTATTCCTCATCAAGTGTGGAGGAGTGGCCATGTACGCTCTGTCCTGGGCCTTCATGGTGGACATTGTTGGCTTTGTAATGCGGAGGGGCAAGAGATGGCACCAGGAGAGAGACCAACGGCGGAGGGCTGCAGCTAAGAAGGACTGACAGGCGTTTCGGCTTCTGGAGGAAATCAGTTTACCTGACTTTACATCAGCTTTTCACTTCAGACACTCAGTGGATTTTTTTTTTTTCAGTCTACAGGAAAATCAGCTTTCTGCATTGACAGATTTATAAAAAAGTAGTTTTTTGTGTGTAAATGGAATGCACTATGCCATCTTTTTTTGAAAAGTCTACCATGTGTGCATTTAAAAATATATATTTTAGTTTATATGCACCTGATGATTGTTATTTCAAAGGTACAAACAACATGTCTATAACGAGGACTGAAAACCAAAGCACTTTTATAAAAACACATGTTGCTTTCAGCTGCTGTGAACTGTGGCCCAGTCATTTGTGGTGGTGCTGTTCCAAACAGGGAGTTTACAATTTAGAAAGTGAGACAGTCAGACCTCGGGGTGGCTGTTGAACAGTTTTTGTCAGACAAAAACATTAAGACAGCTTTCTGTGCTTCCTTTCAGTTGTTTTTTTGTTGTTGTTGTTTGTTTGTTTGTTTGTTTGTTTTGTGTGCTCTAAGAGAAACGCAGTGCTTATTTGAAAACTCAATACAGTTTGGGACATTTTTTTCCCACTCGCATTGTGAATGTGCTAATGTGATAGATCTACCCAAAATCTGCGACGTTGTACTTCATTTCCTGTCTGTGTGAGCTAAAATGATCCTGAATTACTTATTAACATTTTACCTTTATTTGTTGTATAAAAGCCTCATTTAATTGTAATACAGTAAAAACAAAATGCCTGGTGTAACTAGTTTAGAGAAAAAGTATTTGGTACTAGAACCATTATATTCAGATAACTGACATTCACTGAGTGTTTGTGTGATTGTCGAGAAAGTCTCTTCAGTCTTTGTTGACAGCAGAAATTACCCTTATGGCAAATTATTTGTCTGGATTTTGATGTTTTTCTTAAGGCACTGATGCACTTTTTTAACATCCCTACTCTGTTTGTTGAATCTTTGGAACAAACAGGCTCTGTCAGCCAAAATGTTGGAGATCAGGTTTGAGCTTACAGCATCAATCCGTGCCAAGGAAGGTACCAAGCCATCAGCTTTCATGTTTGCTGACACAATATCTTTGTGGCATATAATCATTTGTTTGTAAAGAGAAGAAAGTACAAAAATAAGTTCTCTGTGCCTTATCTAAAATGTACTTACTGCCCTTTGTATGTGTTATGTTTTTCTTTTCTTGTGCTGTGATCTAAATGCTCCAACACCAGACTGTAAAGTGAAAACATTGTCTTTGATTTAATTGTCTTTGTAATTCCGATTGAAATAATAATAAAAAGATCCTTGTGTATGTTTTCCACATCACAATGTCACCTGAGAATAATTGTCAGTAGCTAAATCGGCATCGCGTAATATTCAGATGGAGTGAAGTTACCACAGCCGTCCACAAGATGGTGGTATTTCAATTGTATTTGAATGACTAGTGAGGTAATATCCGTTTTACTCCTTGTACTGGACTTAGGTGTTCTATTTATTTTTTATCTATGCAAGATTTTAAGACTTTCAGAAAAGTCCATGTAGTTTTTAAAATGCAAGATATTTATATAAAAAATAGGTTTTAAAGCATAACACTGTCTTTTAGGTGGGATTGATCAATATGACTAATACACAACAAAAGAGAAATGAATAAAATTTATTTTTGAGATGAAAAATGTTTTTTTTTTTTTTTATTGAGTGCAAATTCAGTGCACTAGCTTAGTAAAAATGGATCCAAAAGCTGTTAGAACCACTTACACAAAAATGCATTCTAATAAATCCAGCCATGACTAGCCATGACAAGTAGCTTCTAAAATACATAACTAGTTCATTTTTTATCACTATTTTAATTGTCAAATAGTAGATTTAATGAATCTCTTTTCACCCCTTAATCTTTGCCTTACCTCTGTGTTTTTCTGGTTTGCACACATGGGGACACAGTTTCCCAATTTCTACTGGATTTCAGGCCAGAGCTCTGACTTTCTAGCTCTAAAAACAGATTTTTCATAGGCACACTTAGAAACCAATTGGTAGGAAATGTTCTGTAGATCCCCTCAAAAATTTTAATATTTTCTTCAGTAACACATTTGCAAATATAATCACAATATATGGCAACTCTTCAATGTCTGATTTGAAGACTTACCATATATTTTGGGTGTGTCTTAATTACTCTCAGTCAACATTGAAAAATGTAAAAACATTATATAATTTCAAATACATTTAGTTTCTGTGATTGAAATGTGTTGCCCTAACCAAAACCACAAAACATATATAAGTCTGTGAATAAATTGAATTTGATAATAATTTTGTTCTTTCTTAGCAAGCACAAAAATTACATCTGCTTCAGGCTTGATTACTGTTTACGTGACAAATACAGTCATACTAGGTCATATCTTTTTGAAGTCAAAAGGATCAGCCCATGATGTATCAGCACACCAAAGGCCTTTCCATTTCTCTATGAAGGGTTTAACCACCACCTGAATTAAGTGTCATCAGTTAGGTGGGACGAGGAGGTCAAAGTGACAAAAGGTCAGGATTTAGTCAGACTGTTTTTGTCAAACTTTAAATAAAAGCTCTCAAATAAACTGCTGAAAGGGTCGACAAAGAGATATGACTTAACATTTGGTTTTTGACACTATTTTCTCATGTGGATGCTCCACTAAACCTTAAGATGAATTTAATTTTACCCCTTAATCTTACCACTTAGCTCTGTTACTAGGTTTTACATATTCTTACTGCGGGAAAGGAAGGAAAAATGTCAGAGCGATCTAATCCTTATTTGCTCTTAGTCTTTTGTGGGCAAAGCAACTATTCCTATGTTTGTTGTGACATCCAATGCACTGTGCATTGACATGTCATTTTTTCATGTCTTTAAAAAAAAGACAAAAAACCAATGTTGTATGCTACATTTTGTTACAGCTCAATATCTATACATAGATATTGATGTTGCATATTTTTATTTTTAAGGAGTCTGGGTTTTTTCGGTCATTAATAGAGGGGCTCAAACAATTTTGATCCATGCATAAATTGTAGGATTGTGGATTATAAAAGAAAATATGTCCCTTTTAGAATAACTTTCAAGCATAATTATACTGAAGATAAAGTAAGTTGTCTTTAAACAGCACTGTATATTATTTTTACTAGACAATTTTAATGTTTTAAAATTTATCACTTGGATACCAGTCATTAAATATATACTTCTTGATAAAGCAGAATTATGAAATGCAATGAAATCTACAAATGCAATTTTTACATGTGTAGATTTCAATAGTTTGCCATAGAACTTAAGTTAATTTGACACAATTTGACTGCTTAAAGACAAATGGATAGCTTAGTTAAGTGAGAATCATTTTTTAAATTGTACTTTATTTATTTAACTCAGTTTTAATTAAATTTTAGTATCATTTTGGATTGTTCCTATGTTAAAATGATTTTTTATTTTAAATGATGCTAGCCTGTGGTTAATGCATAAAATATTTATTAATAGAGTATGCTAATAAACTTGTTGAATCTATTTCAAGAAGAGATTCAATCTGTTCCTTGACAATGGCAACAGTTGCCTCAGGGTAAAAAAAAAGCTTGTTTGCGAATTTGACTTTAATAGTAGCCCTGCAGCTAATTGCAGGATGCTAAATTGAGTTTTTGCTCTAACAAAGTAACTTTCTCCCAGTGCAACTCTTATCACAACTTTCTATAAGAATTTTAATTTTCAATTATTTAAACACATGGAAATTAAGTTTTAAGTTTTTTAAAAATACATTTAGACAGTTCTATCTATCTATCTATCTATCTATCTATCTATCTATCTATCTATCTATCTATCTAGCAATTTAGCTACCGCTCCATATTACATTAAAAAAACATGCCTTTTTCAAATGCAAACGATTCCACTTGAATTTAAAGAATTTTATTGGCTAATATTAAATGCATCCCAAAATCCATTTTTATAGTGTAATTACACATGCTCAGCCTGGATTTGTCTTGATAGCGCAAGGCCTGTAAGAATGCACCATATACTGTAGGAATTGATATTACGTTGTTGTTTCGTGTGGAAGTAGCAGTTGGAGGGCTGTTGTCACATTTGTAAGCAGTTTAACAATAATGTTTGCTAACGTTGTGATGCAACTAAGCATTTTCCCATCTCCCGGCGGAAGTGGTCAGTGGAAGCGCTACTGGACTCCAACTGGTAGCGGGCTAGGGCGTTGCTAGCGGCAGAAAGTGGGATTTTTTTCGCTACCTTTCCTCAAGTTATACTCTTCTACTAGCCGCGTCTTCCATCGGAAAACAGCGCCTTTTGCGTTTGCCAAAAGTTTTAGGGCCTCTCCGAGGCTTTCGGTCGTTGTTTACAGAGGAGCGGCGGACAGTTTGTGTCCCGTTAGCTGGCCGCATAGCTAACCTGCTTTCCATCCACGGGAATTCTGCCGAGAAACGACCGAATTCTGGAAACATGGAGTCAAGCAACGTAGCGCTGTGCTAACCGACTCCGCTGGATTTTCTCTCTGCTCCCGGAGACTTTTCAACACGGAGACATACCGCAAGTTAGTCTGGACTCGAGAGGGTGTTGTTACATATAATTTTCCGTCGCGGCTCGGCTCATTGTTGTGAACGGGAGTTTGCTTAGTTTGCACTCGAAACAAGAGCACACACGAAGCAAAGTTTTTTTTCTTCTTCTTCTTTTTTGCTGAAAGGGCTCATCTGTTTTGTTTGCTGGTAGCAGGCGAGATTTAACCCCACCAGTTTACCGTGAGAAAGGATTTCCGAAAAAACCCAACTGTATTTCTTCTTTTAGATACATAAATATGATCATCTTAAGCCGCTTTGTTTTTTAATCTCAACATTTAGCCGCAGTTGTTTTGCTAACTTGTAACACGGCTCGTTGATACTCGCTACTGAGCGATTCTCATGATCACGGGAGAGTCGTTCCCGCAGCCACAGGCAGGCATTTCTGGGAACAGAGAATACCAAATGGGACTGCAGGAATTTCCAGCATCTTTAAAGATCATTTAGGCACCGAGGCCACTCGTAGCTGATCGAGGGGTGGTGGCAGACGGACTGCATCGCTGGGCCAAGGTGTCTGGTGCTGCATTTGGATTGTTTACACGTTTCCTACCGGCGGAAGCTGGGGATGTGAATGCAAAAAAAAAAAAAAAAAAAAAAAAAAGAGTCTCGCAAGGAGTTTATGCACGGCAACTTGTGCCAGCTGGAGCTGTTTTTATATTTATTGTCGCTGGCAAAAAGCTCTACACTGTAAGGTCCTTGCTGCTGTTTCATTTCGACAAGGATTACCTGCAAACAGGATCAACCAGTCAGTGTTTTATTAGATTTTTTTATTCGATATATATATATATATATTTTTTTTTTCTTATTTAATTTTTGGACGTGCCTTGCAAAAATTTAACTGTTTTTTTTTTTTTCAACCAAAGGGAGTTGATTCTAAGCACCGCTCATAAAAAAAAAAAAAAAAAATCCTTCCCTACTCAAAGACGAATGCCAGAGAAAGAAGCTCCTGGAAGTCTGGTCACCAAGCTCTGGAAAATGCTAATGGGATATAATTTACTGCAAATCTAGAACCGGAAGCCCAATGAGTGACCCACAGTTCAGTTCCACTGACAGGTAATGTCTAATCATCCACTGTCTGAACACACACACACACTGATTAAGCCTTCTAAGGTCATGGTTCTCAAACTGTGGTACATGTTCTACTGGTGCTACTTTGGCAGCTTTTAGTACTTTGAAAAAAAAAGTGGGCATCAGTTACTTCTAATATAAATACAAACAGATGAAGTCCAAATTAGATAATATAAGCACCAATCACCACTCCAAAGATAAGATTCTGCCATTTTCTTTCTTTGATTGGTTTCATTTAGTGCATCAGAACTAAGAACTCCCATCATTTATGGTCTTCAAACACATCAACCAACAGCAGGCACTTTGATGCATTTTTTGTAAGCATGACAGGTAGCTCAATCAGCTCAAATAGATTGTACACCGCAAAAGAACATTTATTCTACGTATGAAAGGCATAATATGATAAAAAAAAAGTGTTTTTACGTCAATTGCTACAGAATATTTTATGCTAAGAAGCCAAATTGAATTTATTGGACAAGGTTGGTGAAAATTCTCCTCCTCAAATTCTAATCTTTATTTTAACTTCTCCAAGTTGGAACATTGAAATTTTAAGTTTAGAGTAAAAAGGAAACTCCTGATAATGAAACCGCATACTTCAGTCAATCACAGAGTGATGCAACACAAAGAGGTGACGATGTTTTAAAAGAAATAGTTTTTAATCCAGCGGAAAGTGTGAAGTTATTAGAAGTATCTTGACGTCATTGGCATCACAGCATCTAGCCCTTAGCTTAACCGATTCTTAATAAATTAAAACAAGTGCCTCCGTGTAGGCTGATGCAGTTTTAGATGGAAAAATGCCAGTAGTCCTTAGTTGAACAGTTGATGACCAATCAGCTGCTCAAGTGAAAATTCTCAGAGTCTGATCTCTGGCTGATTGATTGGTGTTTTACCTCAACTGAGTAATAAAGCCCTTTTCTGTGGATGTACTGGGAAAACTCGATATTTACTGAGGGTGGTGCTTATTATAAAACTCTGAGAACCATTGTTCTGGTATCTTAATCTGACTGTCTAATTATTTGTGCAAGGCAACATCCTTTTTTAGTAAACCTTTTAATACAGATCACTCTGTGTTGATGTGATCAGTTACAATTATGGAATTATATTACTGAAGAAGGACATCAAACCTTAATGGAAACTCTGCCAACCATGGGTAATGTACTTCCTGCCAATGAGGAGGCCTTCAGTGTGTTTGTGCTAGGAAACAGTCCTCTCTAATCCAAGTACACCTTTCAACATCGCTATTACCCCTAAGCCTTTAAAGCTAACCCTCTCCTACACCTATTAAAGCAATCTCTGGATTTAAATAAAACCTTGGCTGCCTGAGGTAATCGCTTTATCTTGGCAGCTGTCTGTCCAAAAAATCAAAGGTTAAACCACAAGGGCTAAATAACATGTTTTTTTGGGAGCTGAATAAAAGAGAGCCATCCACGTGTTTGATGGCAGTGCATGGAGATGCAGTCAGTGTACATCCCTGCACGCTGCCTTGTGTCATTACAGGAATTACCTCTTCTGTGGGTTTCGCACCTTTAGGGAATAAGGAGGTGACTGTTCTCAATCTGACGTACGTACGACAGTGGAGCAGAAGTGAAGCTGGTGCATTACATCAAGCCTTCTTCCCTCCTAGAATCCCACATACCTGCAAGCAGAGCAGCAGGCCAGCCAAGCTTCCTGGAATGTGTTTGTAGACTTGGAACAGAGGGGAGCTTATTGCACAGGTTGGGATGTGAAATATCCTCATGGCTTTGAGCTGGAGGCTAAAGCCCAACCCATTTTACTTGACCCCCTTCCCCCACTGAAATGATGGCAACAGTGGCTGGCACCAACTGCAATTGTAGTGGTATTTTATTTTTATGTGTGTGTGCGTGCATGTGCGTGCGTGTGTGTGTGTGGTTTGTCTGATGGTATTTATGTGACTGGCTAAGCATGGGTTGGTATGGGATTCTCACAGTATGATAACCTTGACTTTAAAAATACAACCAAGTTCCATGGTTTCCTGATATTTACTGGAAAATATAGAAGACAGACTTATTGGCTTTATTTAAAACAGACAATAACACTTATTAGGCCTAAGCAGCGAAACGCTGTGAAGGTTTGTTGTACTTTTCATAATGTTATCAAACTGTATAGCCCAAATGATTAATTATACAAATATTATCGGGAAGGTTTTCTTAGTATTTTTTCATTTAATACATAGACTTAAGCAAAATAACCCGAATAAACACACTTAAATTAGTATTATTCTTATTTGCGCTTTTACAAATAAATCATTCTTTGCTCTTCAGCTGTTTATAGCGTAACACAAGTATATTGTTACCCTGGGATTTTAATCCTACTCTTGCATTGATTTTGTCTACTTATTTTATCTTGTTTTTAGAATGGAATAGAAGTATTTATTGTCCCAGAGTTAGGGAATTTCTTAACATTTTTTGATGTATCTGTATGAATGGTGATGATGAATGATGATAACAGCTCCAGTAGCTGACTCTCGGTTGCTTGGCAATGGGACATAAAAAAAACAAAAGGTTTTGTTGGCTCTATTTGAAAGTAGTTTGACAGGAAACAGGGTAATGAGAGAGGAGGAAGACATGCGACAAATGTCGCCAGGTTGGGAATCGAACCTGTGACCACCGTCACGATGACTAAGGCCTCAGTACGTGGGTTGTGGTTTGCCCCTGGGTCACCACAGCGCCCACAGCAACAGGACATTTTAAACGTTTATTCCGAAGGGGTCGCGATTCCAGTTATGGTCCTTTTCTTTCTCAGTAAAATAGTTTCTGATATAGTCAGCGTCATACATATGTTCCACCATGCTCACTTGGCACATTTAAAAAAACAACAGTGTCTTCTTCTATAGTGTAAAATGATAGGTGTCTGTTAGGACATTATTACCACCTAATACAGTGTACAGTATGCAGACCCCCACTGATGTTTTTATGACACTTTTTGTCCAGACAAAGGCCTGTGACCCTCTGACACTTCTAGGTCAGGACCCACCAGATGGAAAAGACGG